CAATTTTATTGGTTTCTGGACAATAGAGCTTGTAAGCACCAGTACTGTGGTACCCTATCAGAATCATCACTTTGCTTCTATCATCCAGCTTCTGTCTTCTGGCTTCTGGAACATGTTTATAGCAAACAGAACCAAACACCTTTAGATGAATAACACTTTGCTTATCTCCAGTCCACTTCTGTATTGGAACTATTTCCTTCAACTTCTTCGTAGGACATCTGTTGAGTACATATGTTGCAGTGGCAACAGCTTCTCCCCAGAGCTTCTGAGGAAGCTTCTTCTCCTTTAGCATGCTTCTCACCATATCAAGCAGAGTGCGGTTTCTTCTTTCAGCAAGACCATTGTGTTGAGGGGTATAGGGAGCAGTAACCTCATGCTCAATTCCATTCTCCTCACAGAACTTCTGGAACTCTTTGGAGTTATACTCACCTCCACCATCAGTTCTAAGAATCTTCAACTTCTGACCACTCTGATTCTCAGCCTTCATTCTGAACTTCTTGAATTCATCAAACACCTCGTGTTTGAACTTAATAAGGGATACCCATGTCATTCTTGTGAATTCATCAACAAACAGCACAAAGTATTTATTCCCTCCAATTGATGCTACTGGAAATGGACCACACACATCAGAGTGTACAACTCCCAAGGCATGTTTTGCTCTTGGAGCAACTTCTGATGCAAATGGCAATCTTGGTTGTTTTCCTTCCATGCAAACTTTGCATGACTTTTCAGGCTTCTTAATTGCAGGAATTCCATGTACCAATTTCTTTGAATTCAGATGTTGTAAGCTTCTGAAATTCAAATGACCAAATCTTCTGTGCCACAGCTCACTCTCCTTCTCAGTACTTGTTGCACTAAGACACTCTGAGTCTGCAGTTCTGACATTCACCTTGAATGTTCTATTCCTTCCCTGTTCTGACTCCATAATCAACTTCTGATTACAGTCATACAGCTTCAGAAGATTGTCCTTCATGGTAACTGAGAAACCTTTCTCAATTAATTGTCCCACACTCATCAGATTGCTTCTGATGCCAGGTACATACCACACATTCTGAATCAATGCTATTTTCCCATTGTTCAGAGTCACTCTGACATTTCCCATACCTTCTGCATTAAGATATTTGTCATCAGCACATCTGATCTTTGTTCTCTTTTCAGAGTCAAAGTCAACCAGCCATTTCTTGTTTCCAGTAAGATGATTTGAACAGCCAGTGTCCATATACCACCAGTCTGTCAGATCCACATTATCAGATTCAGAGGCCATCAACAGCACAGATTCGTCATCAGAGCCTCTGGCTATATTTGCTTCTTCTGATTTCTTCTCCTTGTTTGACCAACAATCTCTAGCAAAATGGCCAAACTTCTTACAACAGTAACATTGTATTTTTCTTTTGTCATACTTCTCTTTTCCCCTCTGAGCATTCTTTTATCTATCAGAGGTTGAGCTTTCTGACTTCTGACCACCATCAAATCTTCTCCTGGCTTCTGACTGCTTCTGATACCTCCTATCAGAAGTTGCTTTCAGAGCCTGCTGTTCTACTTCCTTTTCAGAGTTTCTCTCAGTCAGACGCAACTCTTGCGCTTCTAGACTGCTCTGCAGCTCTTCAATTCTCATTGTGCTCAGATCTTTGGAATGTTCTATTGCTACCACAATGTAATCAAATTGAGGAGTAAGGGATCTCAACACTTTCTCCATGATTGTTTCTTCAGAAAGAGTTTTTCCACATGCCTTCATCTCATTAGTGATCAGAATCACTCTGGAGATGTATTCAGAAACTTTCTCATTATTCTTCATGTTGAGATTCTCATATTGCTTACTCAAGGACTGAAGCTTCACCTTCTTCACTGATGCGTCACCACCATAACATCTCACCAGAGTGTCCCATGCAGCCTTTGCTGTTGTAGAGTCTGCAATCTTCTCAAACACGTTTACATCCACACATTGATGAATGAAGAACAATGTTGTCTGATCCTTCTTCCTTACTTCCTTTTGCGCGTTTTTCTGTTCATCAGTCGCATCTGCTGCTACTGGAACATAACCATCAGTGACAAGATCCAGAACATCTTGAGCACCAAACAGTACACGCATTTGGATCATCCAACGATTCCAATTTTTACCGTCAAATACTGGAAGTTTGGTGTTCATGTTGCCGTTTCCGTTCATCTTCTACTTTGCACAATACACTCAGAGTTTTCTCACACAGTGTTTCCCAACCCACAGAATTAAAAAATTCTGATCAGATTTTGTTCAAGATTCAACAAGAATCTGAGAAACAAAATCAAACACACAAGACCTCACGTTCACTCGTGTTTCCCGTGTTTCCCAATGAATCTGAACCGGAGCTCTAGATACCAATTTGTTGGTGCAAAGATAGAATAAATGATGAAATAGGGAAATATTCTATTAAAGAGAATGACGGCTACAAAACATGATATTTGGTTACAATGATTGTCACCCTATTTATAAGCTAAACTAGGGTTACTAAAATAAGATAAATACTAAAATACCCTCTAACAAACTTATGGGCTTAAGAAAGTAATATAATAAAATATGAATTATTACTAATAAATTACATTTAAAATAATAGTGAATTTTATCTATGTATTTTTCAATGCATGTTAGGTTCAATTACATTTAAAATAATAGTGGAGTGCACTCATTTCTCCCATAAGAACATTAGTTTTTAACAAGACTCTTGTTTATTATTCATTGACTTGATACCATTTATGTAAGAATCAACATGAACATCAGACTCTTTTAAATAGAAGACATCATTTACAAATTCTTCAAACCAAAAGAAACATAATGGACAATAAAACCATCTTTAAAAAAAATTAATAACGTTGCATTTTCAAAATTAAATCTAAATCCTAAAACTCTCATTAAACTTAACATAATCTTAAATAACCATCTTAAAAAACAGAAATCTAAACAACAATCTAATTCTAAATAAATTACGTTACCGATTAATTAACTCATAAACAAAAATGAGTTTTCACAAAATTAGTTATTGCCACTAGAGAATAAAAAAAATAAACACTAATTTAGTCATTTTTGTATTTCTATTTCTTTCTATCTATGTCAATTTGATTTACCCGAGGACGATTTTGTAGTACGGTGACAATGATGAGTGCTCCTAAAGTTTTAAGAGACAACGACTAACCTCTTAACCGTAATCTTTTGTAAAGTTTTTTCTCTGCTCCTAAAGTTCAAATCCAGTAACGTTTGGACAACATTGTCGTGACATAGACATTCACTATTCCTTTTCTAGTTTTTTAATATAATAGTCCAAAAGAGGATGTTTCCACCTAAGGTTGTACAATGTGAAGGGATGTTCAAATTAAAGATGCAAAAACACTGAAAACCTTTGTTTGTTTCTATTTGTCTCATTGATAGTTGTTGTAAATTAAAGTAGCTAATAGCTATGTAATGTTTGTTAGCCCAAATATAAAAAAGAAACCAATATAGTGACTGTGTATGTAAGATACTAACATTGAAATCTTTTTGCCACATAATTGTTAACATTAGTACTATAATATTGTTTTGTCACCATGTTTTCAAGCAACTTTGTCTGGTTTCCTGGCTTTGTTTTTAACAGCGATGCCAACAAATTGGTCCTTTTTACCATACTTTGCTGCAGATTTCCCTCAAAGCATTGAAAAATCATGCAATGCGTGACATTGGTGCTTTATTATAAAACTCATTTTTTAGTATGTTATTTACTATTTATTACTTATTTTTTTAATTAAATTTTTTATTTTATTAATGAATGATAGTAGTACTTTTTATAAAGTAATTCAAAATTTCTTTTTCATACTTATTAACTACATTTCTTAATTACCCAAACAATATGCCTCACTGAATAAACATTTCACCATCCCATTAATTGTGTCTTTGAAAGAAGACCTTCCCCATTAATGTGACATTCATCTAGAAGATACCTCATCCATCTCAAATACTTCACACGTATTAAAAAAACAATATAAAATATAAAATTATATCTTTATTAAAATACTCTTATTATCTATTAATGTATTTGTTTTTACAATAAATATATAGTAAAAAAATATTAAATTTAGAGTCTGTTTATTTTAGTTTTTTTTAATGATTTTTATAACTTTACATATTTTTATTTAAAAAATTCAATAAAAATTAATTTAATTAGTTATTCTTAAAATGTTATTGTGAGTATTTATCTTTTTACTAATATCAAATTTTCAAAAAAAAAACACTTAAATTTAAAACTATTTCAAATAATTTTTTATAAAAATTATTTGAGATACATATTTTAAAAAATAATTATACTTCTATGTTTTAGTCTTCAATAATTATATTTATGTTATGGATATTAAAATTAATCTTTCAATTTATAAAAAACAATTTTTTTTAATATTTAAAAAAATATTTTTACAAAATTCATTTTTAAAAATATAAAATAAAGTTAAAAGGAACAAATTCTAAGAAAGATAAATTGAATATTAATCAGGAGATATATTTAAGTAATTAATTATTAAATTACTTTTAAAACAATTATATATAATGAAACAATTGAAAATACGAATATTTTAAAAGATAATAAATAAAAACAGTATTATTTCATTTATTAAATGCTCCAACAGATTCTATATTATATAGGTAGAGAGGGAGTATCAATCAATTTGCAAAGAATAATGATGTGGACCTATACCCACAAAACTTTGTCTATTCACTAGCTCATCCCATATTAAAGTTGTGAATAAAATTGATTATGGGAAATGGATTTTAAACTAACAGTTGTCCAAATCTGAAAACTCAATGCAAACTACCTTTGGGGGCTGCGAGAAGAAACTCTCAAGAATCTCAGCTAGGTGGTATAAGCGCGTTTGACCTCGTAATAATCACTTCCATTCAATTCAACCCTCTTGTTGACGCTATCTTCACCAAACACAACACAACTAAGAACAGAACACAAACATATACATAGTCCAAATCAAACCAAACCTCGTTTGATCCATCATCAATGGGTGACATAGTGAAACAAATATTAGCAAAACCGATCCAGTTAGCAGACCAAGTAACAAAAGCCGCAGATGAAGCAAGTTCCTTCAAGCAAGAATGCGGAGAACTCAAATCCAAAACGGAGAAGCTCGCCGCTCTTCTCCGGCAAGCAGCAAGAGCGAGCTCCGATCTATACGAACGTCCTACGAAACGGATCATCGAAGAAACCGAACAGGTACTCGACAAAGCACTTTCCTTAGTCCTAAAATGTCGTGCCAATGGTATTATGAAACGTGTCTTCACCATCATCCCCGCAGCCGCTTTCCGTAAAACATCCTCCCACTTGGAAAACTCCATCGGTGATGTTTCTTGGCTCCTCCGTGTCTCCGCCCCTGCTGATGACCGTGGTGGCGAGTATCTCGGACTTCCTCCGATTGCTGCCAACGAGCCTATTCTCTGTTTCATTTGGGAACAGATCGCTATACTTTATACCGGTTCACAAGAAGATCGCTCCGACGCGGCGGCTTCGCTCGTGTCGCTGGCGCGTGGGAGTGATCGTTACGGGAAGCTTATAATTGAAGAAGGTGGGGTGGGGCCACTTTTGAAGCTGATCAAGGAAGGGAAAATGGATGGTCAAGAGAATGCTGCTAGAGCTATTGGTCTTCTTGGTCGTGATGCAGAATGCGTTGAACATATGATTCATGCCGGTGTTTGTTCCGTGTTTGCGAAAATTCTTAAAGAAGGTCCTATGAAAGTTCAAGGTGTTGTTGCTTGGGCTGTTTCTGAACTTGTTGCTAATTATCCTAAATGTCAGGATCTTTTTGCGCAGCATAATATTATAAGGTTGCTGGTTGGTCATCTTGCTTTTGAAACGGTTGAAGAACATAGTAAATATGCTGTTGTTAGCATGAAAGCGACTTCCATTCATGCTGCTGTTGTTATGGCTAATAATAATAATAATTCTAGTTCCAATCTTAATCCAAAGAAGGGGAATGCAAATGGAGATGATGGTGTTGGTGGCGGAAACGGAAACAACAAACAAGGTCGCGTGTCGCATCATCCGTTGGGGGAAAGACCTAGAAATCTGCATAGAGTGATCACAAGCACTATGGCAAAACATGCTGCTTCCAAGCCTACTCAAGGAGATGAAGCAAATCAAAATCAGAACTTTTTGTCAAATTCCAATCCTCCTAATGGAAATGGACTTGGTAATGGTAATGGTAATGGTAAGCAAGGAGGTCATAATAATCACCAGAGAAACTATTCGCATTCCGGAATTAACATGAAGGGAAGGGAATTTGAAGACGCAGAGACTAAGGCTAGTATGAAGGAAATGGCAGCAAGAGCTCTTTGGCATTTGGCTAAGGATAATGTGGTGATTTGTCGCAGCATAACAGAATCAAGGGCTTTGCTTTGTTTTGCTGTTTTACTTGAGAAAGGACCGGAGGCTGTGCAGTACAATTCAGCGATGGCGTTGATGGAGATTACTGCGGTTGCTGAGAAAGATGCTGAATTGAGGAAATCAGCATTTAAGCCTAATTCTCCTGCCTGCAAAGCAGTTGTTGATCAAGTGCTTAAGATAATCGAGAAAGCAGATTCGGATCTCCTCATTCCTTGCGTCAAGGCGATTGGGAACTTGGCAAGAACATTCAAGGCTACTGAGACAAGGATGATCGGTCCGTTGGTGAAACTTCTTGACGAAGGAGAGGCAGAGGTTTCCAGGGAGGCGGCAATTGCGCTCAGGAAATTTGCCGGAAGTGAAAACTACCTTCATGTTGATCACTCCAAGGCAATTATTAGCGCAGGCGGCGCAAAACATTTGATTCAGCTTGTTTATTTCGGAGAACATCAGGTTCCAGCATTGGTTCTGCTCTCCTACATTGCATTGCACGTGCCGGATAGCGAAGAACTCGCTCTTGCTGAGGTTCTTGGAGTGCTTGAATGGGCATCCAAGCAATCTTTCATGCAACATGAGGAAACCCTTGAGGCATTGTTGCAAGAAGCCAAGAGTAGGTTGGAGCTTTATCAATCTAGAGGCTCAAGAGGATTCCATCATAAATTGCATCAGTAGGAAGAATAGTACATTGTCACCATCTTTGTAAATGTAAAGGTTTTTCAATTGTTTCCGATTCTTATCTGTTTTACTCTCTCTGATTCTATTTATAAGAAAAAGTTTATTTTATAGATTCATTGAATATGTAATAAATTTGGTATCAATGTATCTAAAAAATAAATTTTTCTTTATAAATAAGACCGGGCAGATATCTGATATATTTTCCTAAGTGTGTATAAAATTAATTTGATTCACATTGGATGTATTAATCAATGGTTGATATTGATAATACTCACTTTACACTTTAAAGTGAGTTGTTCTGATTGCTGTCTACAATTATTTACCAACTATTATGCGTTGGACCAAATAGAAAAAATTCTGAAAAGAATACTTTGAATGATTCTTAGCTTTTGTTGCATAAATAGAAAGAAAGGAATATATGCAATAAAAAGTGAAGTTGACATGAGGTTTGGAGCTGGATGGTGGTCCAAAGATTCAACTGCTGGAGTAGGACGTGTTCAAAACTAAGGCACGTCAAAGTTTACTTTCTGTATATGATTCCATCATGCCACAATAAAATATATCTGCAAATTGTTGTTAGTTAATAAATAATAACTTAATTTCTAGGACAGAATTAACGTGAAAAACGACAAGTAATTATTATAAACTAAGGGTATGAAGGAAATTTCAGAGGATGGGAATGAAATTCAACGTAGAAGGAGAAAGATTGGGAAAATTCTATTTCTACGTGGAGTTGTGTTGGAAGAGAAGATACATTTTTTGGCTCTCAAGATTTACACTTCCCAAGCTTCCGCGCACACGCTCTCCAAACGGGATATATCATTCTTATGACGGGTTGGGCTTATATTCAGCCCAAATTGATGATGCATATGCTCATTTGAAGGTGGATCTCTATTAGCAGAGTTATACCTAACACCCTACAATTAAAGATGACATCCCTACATAAATCTCAAAATGTCAATAACGACTCTCGTTATTTATATCTAAATTTTACTATTTTTTAAAAATTACTTCCAAAAAGTTAGGTAAACACAAAAATATGGTAGTTATAAGTAAAATCTAGTAGAAACACGTGATATTGAAAAGAAAAAAGGATCATGTTGTATATATTTTTTTTTGTAATATATAAATTCGGTGCAAATTTTGTCCCACAAAATTTTTTAGAATCCAATGTACTATTTTTTTTTTTTTTGTCTTTTTACATAAACTTTGATGGCTTTGTTGCTTTTAATAAAATGTTTTAAATGAATGAATATGAGGTGGATGAAATTTTAGAAGATTTTGCACAACTCTTCACCATTAATTAAGTATGTTTTATCTGAATTTTTGAAATTTTTAATCGAATTACAGAAGTCTGTAAGTAATTTATTTTGTTATAATTGGTAGAAATTTTTCTCTCGGACGCAAGTGTTGTCATGTACGCTATATATTGGAACACTACACGGTATTATTGTAATTATCATTCGTTCTAATACAACAAATGGGATAAGAGGCAGGTGTGACAAACTGATTCTCTTTATCGTATTGTTAGTCAGGATTTTCGACTAAGAGAAAACCCTAGCAAACAAGAGTAAAGAGAAGGAGCTTTTGGTTCGACCAAAATCTTGGACTTAGAGAATTTTCAAATGTTGCAAGAAATATTTCAACATAAGTATACTTCGGCCATGTAGGTCTTACCACAGCGACAAGTTGGTCGAATGAGCATTTATTTGAGCGCGTCATATCACGTTCAAATATTAGTAACTGTTTGAAATTTTCTTTCTGAAGCGACACGTGGAGGAAGTCTTAAGATGGACTGCATGCAGAGCTTTCTGTGGCGAACTCATGGAATAGAAATGTTAGGGGTAGTTATTTTGCACTTGTATATATAGGATTTTATTACGTTGAATTAGAGGGATTCATTGTATTACAAAAATCTCATTGAAAACTCGAAGTATCAACGTTAAGAGAAACGAGCGAATGTAAGAGAAAATGAATCATCATACTTTACTTTCAATGCAAAGTTTCTAGTTTCGTTCAGTTCATACTTGATTTGTGTTCTTTACTTCTATTTCTTTTCAAGCACTTTCATTAAGCATTTCTAGTTTTTGATTACTTCGTTTAAGTATTTCTAAAGTAGCCAAAGTCTTCTCGCATTTTACTAGAAATTACATTTCGACCAAGTCTAGAGCATTTTGCTCTAAACATAAGAAATTTCATAACGAAGAGGTTATTTGACACTATGTCCTAGGGTTCACTGGTTTATCCTACAAGTAACCCTTAATTTGTAGACCAGCGGTTGTTTGCCATTTTTCAGCGTAAACAAATTGGCACGCCTAGTGGAACATGTGCTAAAATTTCCTATCCGTTTAGAGTTTTCTTTACTTTCTTCACATTTTAAAAATAGTATTCTATTCTTAAGAGTCTTTTCTGGGTATTTTGTATGCAATTAAGGAGTGGTAAGGGTTTGTCTAGTATGTCTCATCCTCTTGTAGATAACGTTAATCCCTAGAATAACCCTCAAGATGTAGTGCAACAATCGGTCGTGTCGGCGGTTGTGGAACCAGTTCTTTCGACACCAGTTAGAACAAACGCGCTAACAGTATCAGCGGTGTCGGTCGCAGCAACACTATCTCAAGGGGTGACACCCCCGCCGCAACCAGGAAACTCTTTTAATAATCATGCGATTATAATACCGTTGTTTGGATTCTCAATGCCACTTCCTGGTAGATATTACCCTTATGGTACACTAACATCTATGATGGCTAACCTACAATCAAATATGTCAACTTTTAGTGATAATGTAATGGTCACAGTGCTATTATATAACTCGTACAATGCCTCAGCGTCAACTATCAATAATATGGCGCAACCAGGAAGGGTAAATTATATCCCCCAGATCACGACATCCTTGAATGCAACTTTTATGATGGCTATGAGGCAGCAAATGGACAAGAGTAATATAGAATTAGTGAATACCTTCACCCAAAAAATGAGAACTATTTTTAACCCGTTGATTGCGAATGCAAATCAGACTTATGAGGTGTTAGCAAATCAAATTGGGTGCATCGCTGATTTCTTTGGCACACCCAGGTACCATTTCGACCAACTTTATAGATATCTAATGTAAGAGCGGTCGAAACTCCCGAGAATGGGACATCACAGGCCATTGTGGTCCAAAACTAGGGGTTGTAGCAAGGAACTCCCTTAAATGGAGAGCAAACAGAACAAAATAACCATAGGCCTCTGATAGTTCAGAGAGATCAAAATGCTGACCAATTACTCAGGTACGTCCAGCAAAATAATTTTGCAGGGAAGAATAATATTACAAATGTGTTCGAACAAATTTTGGCCCAGAATGACCTTAATGTGGGACTTCACCGACCAAATTTCATTTCTCCGTTGTCATAATACATTCGACAGTCGGAGATGCTCAAGGGATTGAAAATCCCAAAGTTTACTAAGTTTGTTGGAGACACCAATGAGTCAACAGTAGAGCACGTTGCTCGGTATCAAACGGAGGCTGGCGACTTAGCAAATAATGAGAATTTGAAGCTAACATACTTCCCAAATTCTATTTGAATAGGTTCAGACTTCTTAAAGTCAGGTTCTTCACCCAGGTGCCCGAGAATGAATTAGTCGAAATGCCCGCGGGTGGCCTAGACTATTCAATTAGGAAAAAGTTGGATACTCAATACTTGAGGGACATGGCACAACTTGCAGATAGGGTTTGTCAGGTCAAATGCCTAAAAGCTGAAAAAGCCAGAACTAGTAAATATCATAAGAAGAAGAAAGTCGCTTACATAGACGCTAACAATTATGTCTCAGATGTAGTTGATGATTATTTTGAGGAAGTTAAAATCAATGTGGATGAATTGATGCCAGGGCCCCTTTTGTTTGTAAACTATTGAAACCATCAAACAGGAAAAATCCTGTCGAGACTAGCAAAAATGAAAAGTTTGCCACTAGAACTTACACTTTCGACATTATAAAATGTAATGAGATATTTGATTTGTTAGTCAAAGATGGTAAAATTTTAGTACCTCCTGGTTTAAATACTCCTCCTTATGAACAAAGGAAGAAAAGAGGTTTTTGCAAATACCATAATTTCTTGGGTCATAAGACTTCTCAATGTGTTTTTTTTAGGGATTTGGTTCAAAAGACTTTGAATGATGGAAGATTGCAGTTTGGTGAGAAGTCAAAGTCAACGATGAAGGTGGACTCAGACCCCATGCAGATGGAGGAGGCCCATTATGCTGACTTATAAATATCTTGATGGTGGAAGCTACTGATGGCTCCAACATGGATGTCAACAAGAGAGAGCAGGTCTCACTATTGCTGATTTTGACTTCCAAAAGGTTTACCCCCAGTCTGAAAAGGGGTTAATTGATTTTCTTGAGTGTTGCAAGCTCAACGATAAAACTATGTTGTGCCCATGTTGTAGTGTCGTGTTTCATGAGGAAGCGACAAAGAAAGTAGAGAGTTCTCAAAGGACTAACCCTGGGTGTGGACGAGATGAAGGTCAAATAGCTAGGTTTGTTCCTAACAGTGGGGGCAGATCCTAAAGGAACGAGGAGTACATGAGGTAGTTTCAGCAGCCTTGATAAAAAACCTTCAAGCCACTTACAAATACACCAAAAGGTAAACTGGGTGAAGCCCCTGAACCAAAAGAGGGTGAACCACCCAAACTGGAAGGAGCTTAATCCTAAGCTTGGGATACCAAGCGACGAGGCCCGGAAGGAGGTGAAGAGAAAATCAAATATCCCTCCAACCTACAAGGGAAAGAACCCTGTGACGCATACTCAAAGGAGGCATCATCAGAGGAAGAAGAAGGATGAAAGAGAAGCCTAGACAAATGAGCATTGCGCCTCGGGGGCGAAGCGCAATGCAACTTTGACAAAGCATGGTCAGAAACCCCACTCCAAAAGGGTCAACAAGGGGGAACATCCGCACCTTATTCTGAAGACAGCTACATATCCCTCCTCAATCAAAGGGGGGCTTAGAGTTAGAGAAAGAAA